GTATAAGAACTCCAAAAATTTGCCTAACGGGAAAAATTTATTCTTTATTTAGAGTGAGAARACCTTATATTTAATTACAGCTCATTTAATTTGCATAAAGAGTTTTAAACTTGAAAAACAGCACAGATCTGATGGATAAAAACTGAGTGTTTTTCTACAAGAAAAGAACTGAAATTACAGTAACACTTCTGCTGAATCCAGCTTCAGTGACAGCTGTGAAGAAATAAAAGAAACATTTCTAACATGTCGAAGACAAACAGGTAGGACTCCTGAAGAAGAACCAGACGACCAGCAAAGATGGGAAAAGTTACAGCTGCAACGAGAAGGTAAAAAATTTACAACTTCTGGAAGAAAATAAACAGGTTTCATTATCTCCAGTCCAGCCTCAAAGAAATTTACAATTATTGGGTTGTAAACAAAACGGAGCAATATTGCAATGAAAAGGMGCAAAAAAGAAGTAATCAAGGAGATGTTTGTAGCGTTTTTCTTGAGGAGTTAATTTTCAGGAGGAGGTCCAGTCGCCCCAAATACTGATCATGATCCAAACAATCTGAAATTAAAAAAAAACATTCTTCTGGTTAGAAAAATGTTTCCTTTACTTTTAGGAATTAGTTTGTGTCACGTGAAGAATAACATAAACTGGAAACAAGTTTGAACACGAGAGGTTATAAAATCCCTGCTTTATGAAAATAYCCAGAGTACTGGGCTGGAAACCACTTGACAGTTTAACATCAGGGATTATCTCACAAACACAGAGATACTCACACGACCATGCAGAACATGATGAAGAAGTTCCACAGGGCGATGAAGATCCTGAAGTATCGCAGGCTGAGCAGGAACTCTCTGATGTTGTCGCCTGAGAAATAAAATCAAGATTGTTTGAAGTAAATGAAAATAAAACAAGTCCTGCAAATAAAATCCTACTTTGGTAACAGCATTCTTTTTCATTTGTAATAAATAATATATTAAGAATTTTAACCCCTAATTGTTCAAAAAGAATGTCTGGTTTTATGGTTTTAACATTCTATTAAGAAATGCATTTTACTGACATACAAAATTTGCTGTTTTTCAATGGAATATTGTGTGTACTCYATGTAAAATTTAGTTTGTAACAAATTTCTTGAAACTGGACTGTCAACTGTGATGTWTGATACAATGTGTCATTTTCAAAAGTATTTTGTTTGTGTAGTTTCAAATGCTTTCAGTAAAAAAAAAAAGGGGGGGGGGCAAATACATATAGCTGTGAAATACTTGAGTATTTGTAGATATCTTCCATCCCTGCCTGGCAGAGTGTTTTTATCTCTAACACACACACACACACCTGTTGTTGGTGCTCCGGACTCATCTCCAAATCCCTGCGACTCTTTCCTCTTTCTGTAAAACAGTTAGCATTAGCATCAAACTGAGACTGATACTCAGTGTAAGGTTTATTACCTAACCATGGTCATACTCACAGCTTGAAATTCAACACAGCCCCCGCGTTCACAAGTAAAGTCCTAACGAGCAAAGAGGAAAAACAATCCAGTTAACAGAGACGATTTGAGAGCAAATTATGAGCTAACACTGACTGTTAGCTGCTGAGCTGGCATTAACTTTTCACGAGCCACAACAATATTTTATGACTTAAAAATGASACGACAACATAAATACTAACTACGACAGTCACTCAAACTTTGCTTCAAGGTAGAAACGGGAAAACGATTGATTAAATACCCGAAAATAAGGAGGTCCCCGAGCATTTTGTCAACACAAGTGACCCACTTCCGTGTTTCTTGACGCAATCAGAAATGTATCCAATAGGAACTCAGTGCGCAGTTAGCGACAGTCCTGGGTTATATGCCCTCAGTTTGGACTGTCAGGCGCAGACAGGCTCGCAAAGAAGACAGCATTTTCAAAATAAAACCTGCAAAAATACCAAATGAMCAATCATCATAATGTTTGATAATACATTTTATAACACTCGAATGTTAAATTGATTAAAAATAAATCTRTAATCCCTAATCAATTTATTTAGTGTTTATTTTTMCATGTTTTCTTYGAAAAACAAAGGTYRAAAAATATAATTAACGTCTTAAAGTAATGCAACAGTAATTGATCAATATTACACAACAAACCTTTACACAACCAAACCAAAATATATATTTAAAAAAAATAATTAGTGTTGTTAAAAGTGTGTACTTAGCGCCCTCTAGTGGCCATGAATGTTTCAACTATTTAGACAATATTATAAAATTAGATTTTTTTTTTCATAAAAAAAATTCAATAAGGAACACAAAATCTTATTAGCGTACATTAAGGCAATTTTGACAACACCTTATCAATAATAATTACCAATAAATAATTTTTGCTTGATTCTGAGGAATGTCAACACCAAAGGTTGGGATTAGATCGGATCATTGAGCTGTGAGACACGCYTGGAGAAACATCTGATGCGGATTATGGACGTTTCTGTTCCAAACAGATGAATTATTCTGTGATTYTATTAAATATGGATACACCGTTTTTCTGCTCTGCCTCCGGGCCGCATTAAGCATCGATCAGCATCTTGTGGTCCGGTTCGGGACCATCACATATCAGCCTTATTTTTGTTTTCCTGCTCGATGTGGAGCAGCTGAAGGCTGCTATCCGCTCCGGAGGAGCAGCTGGCCTGGAGGAAGAGGATGATGAAGATGATGATGATGATGATGATGATGATGATGATGATGATGATGATGATGATGATGCAGCTGGGGGTCTGGATATGAGTGGTATTAATAGGAGGGTTTGAGTCTCTCAGGCTTCACAGAGACCGGGGGGGCTCGGTGGAGAGTCGCAGGCTCGGGGGGCTTCCGATCCAAACTGCGCAACTGGACTAATAATAATAATAGTAATAGTAATAGTAAAAAACACAAAACAGGACCTTTTTTTTTACATTTTATTTTTTTGATCATCAGACATAAACATGGAGAACGTGCTGGCAGTTCTTAATTTGGGGGARTTAGCCCACGCTTTCTCCAAAATGGGAATGTTTCCTGTGTTTGACCTGGCTTATTACATCGTCTCCATCCTCTACCTCAAATATGAACCAGGTGAGAAGCTTTAATCTTACTTTTATAACTGTTCTTTTATTTATTTTCATTTATAAATCATTTGTATTACAGGATGCATGCTTGTCTTACACTCAACAGAAATGTGTCACTAGTTTGCAAATTAATAGTTTTATTGTTATTTTAAAGGTTTGCGAGACTTAAATAGTCCCTGCCTCAATTATTTTCTTTAAAGCATGACCTTTTACATAAACTGCAGCTCTGCTTGTTTTAATGTGACAGACTGTATGTTGATGCTGCTGACTGACCTCCCTATTATAGTAGGAAATCCCTAAGAGAGAATTAAAACCTCTCAGGGGTTTTTTGTTTTTTGGGCTGATTTTTGTTGAGATTGAACTGAGCTGCAGAGCCTGAAGGAGYCTGAAACCTGAGCAAAGGTCTCTGCATACCAGCAAGAAATAGAAGAGCCTGAAATAGACAGAGCCTKCAAAAAGCCCCTCACTGATGAGCTGGAGAGGAGTTTTGTATTTGCACTGAACATAAAAGATGTCAGAAGCAGCTGGATTGAGTCTGATTTAGCCGTTTCTGGGAGCAAGAAGTGGGTTTTCATCAAACTGGGGGTCAAAGTTCACCCTGATGGAAACAGTCCAGCCTTTGTTTTCTTGAGCTTTTAGCAGAGATGAAACCAAACAAGGAGTTTGAAGTGAAATCTCTTAAAAGCAGCTCCAAACCCAGTGTGTGTTTCCATCACACAGACTTTTCTCAGCCCTGCAGTCACAAACACACCGAGTTCAAACAAATTAACTTTTTGGCCTCTAAATATATTACTACATTTATTTTGAACAGTTGTTTCCATCAAATTAGAGCAAAAGCTGGGAAAAAAAGAGAGCTACAGGGAGCAGCTTGTTGCTCAGTCAGCATCTCTGTGCGGTTTGGTGCATTATGGGTCATGGATGACAGGTTTGGGCTAAAATAAAGTGTTGCATTTGCAATGAGCACACAGATGGAGGCGTGTGAACTCTGTTCTGCTTCCTCCTGCAACGTGTTTCTGTCCGTTCGACTTCAACGCCACAGAATTTTCATGCCAACGATTTGGAAGTCAAATGACTCYTGCTGCCAGCTCTTGTGAGGTCACCTGTCCTCGCCGCTGTGGGGACCAGTTCACGGCACACGTTACAGGAGCACATGAATGAGTTTTTAAATGTAAGGCAAGGAGAGACAAGTGTGAGGTCAGAGGTCACGGATGAGATTTATTAATAGACAGGGCAGCATTTCGCAGGATCACGTTGCTCTCAGGCTGTTGCACCACGACACCCACCCCCCCCCACCCACCTGTTGTTGGAGATCCTGGTCAGGATCTGGGTCCAACGTGTGGATCTATATCCACAAAAATCACACACGCATCTTTGAAGTTAAACAAAACATCGTGTTTATTAAGATTGATCAATCCAAATACAAAGACAGGATGATTAAAAGTTTAATTTCAAAATAAAAGTCCCAATCAGCTAATAAAAAGGCATGATATAACAAAAAGGTACATAAACAATGTGCAGAATGTGAAACAAACTCAACAAAATTAGGGTCAGATCTAGAGAAATTAGGCTAAAAAATACTTAAAATCAACAGGAGACAAAAAAGAAATTTAATTAATGGCAAGAAGGCATAATTTCATATTTAATGCTAGAGTTTTAAACCCTTTTACCTGTAAATAACATTATGCACCATCTCATCTATTAAGTCATATTATAGAGCTCAGAGGATCACCAAACTTATTTAAATGTCTGTAAAACTGACTGAGTTAGAGACTTTTACTTATTGGTTAAAAACATGAAATTGAATGATCTGACTCAACCCGTTTTGTCTGTGAAGAGGTTTTAGAATCTGTAAATGTAAATAATCAGCTGTGAATTCAATAATGAACGCCTGTTTCTGGAGTCAATATTAGTCCAGGATGAAAACGTGTTCAAACAGGGTGTGTCCTGAAATATGAAGCAGGGTGTAGATAACGATACAGCTCACACACACACACACACACACACACACACACACACACACACACACACACACACACACACACACACACACACACACACACACACACACACACACACACACACACACACACACACACACACACACACTGGATGCACCGATAAAAAGTTTTCACACTTAACTGTTTGAGACTCAGTAATAATTTTGTATCTGTAACAAGTAATGTATTAAGTAAATAAACTAATATTTGAAATAAAAAGTTTTTCTGCAGATTAAAAACATTTCTAAAACGGTGTTTACAGTGAGATTATCAGATTCTAATGAGACTTATTAAATAAATATTTTTTAATAAAGAGATTTTTCTCTATTTGTCTGGAAATAAATGAAATGTACAAATTGATGATTTTCATGGAAAATTTAAAACTTAAAGGATTTAAAGGTGTTGTTTTCAGTTTACCACTAGATGGCGCCAAAGTTAGKCCTTTTAGAATTATTAACCTGCTAAAGTTAGTTTTCTTACACTTTTCCCTCCCTATTACACTTTGTTTATCAACACTAGTTTTTGTATTGTTACAATGCTCCATTTAACTRTCTTTAAGTTAAAAAGAAAATGTTCTGAGCCTCCCCAACGTTCCCTGACAGCCTCTTTTTTTCCATCTCCTGTGCTACAGGCTCGGTGGAGGTTTCCCGCAGGAGTCCCGTGGCCTCCTGGCTCTGTGCCATGCTCTACTGCTTCGGTAGTTACATCCTGGCAGACATCATGCTRGGGAGCAGCCCCGTCGACTATTTCCAACACAACAGCCACATCCTGCTGGCCTCGGCTGTCTGGTGAGGAAGGTTCCCTCAGTTAAATCTGCTTTGTTCAAACTATTAAAAACGCAAATAAMTGTTCAGGGTTTAACTCATGTTGAAATTCAAACAGGTATCTGATCTTTTACTGCCCCCTGAACCTCTTCTACAAATGCGTGGCTTTCCTGCCGGTCAAGCTGGTGTTGGTCGCCCTGAAGGAGGTCGTCCGCGTCCGTAAGATCGCTGCAGGTGTTCACCACGCCCACCARGCCTACCATCACGGCTTCTTCATCATGGTGATCGTTGGATATGTCAAAGGTCCGAGTTTTACAATAATAATTGTCTTTAAACAGACAGATTGTGTGTTTTCCATGTTTTAACATGCAAACATAGCTCTTTTTCCTTAAAAAAAAGCTAAAAGAGCCACTGCAGAGAGATCAAAGAGCCACACCTGGCCCCGGAGCCACAGGTTGCAGATCCCTAACCGAAGCCCTCTATAGGATCATTTTTAAAACTTTTCACCTAAATAAAATATCTCCAACTTAAATCAGACACTTTTACAATTTGAAAGCCTGATTGAACAACTTCTACTCAACATTTCTGTTTGTTCCAACAGCAATACGATTAACTGTAAGCACCTTTTATTACAGTAACAAGTTATTTCATGTAATCTGCACTAATAAGAGCTACCAACGAATAAAGACAAAGGTGGAGGAGCTTGTCAACCTCATAAATTTTGACATTACAGTATAGTGAGAAGCTTTTTTTGTTGTTGTTACGTTTGACAAATCAACATTAGAAGTTTAAATGAGCTCCAAATAAAAACAGGATAAATTATTTGTAAGAAAACTGCTAAATAGCTTCTGGATACCCTGTTAAATCAAATTCCAAATCATGCTCCTGCTGGATTTCATGAAGCAGAATCAACTYTAGAAACTCTGCTGAAGTAGAGAAAGACACTGCAGGTGCTGAACTTGATGATAATAATAATTGTTTTAAAAATGTCACTGAAGCTGGATAAAAATGGAGACACGGATGGTTTTGGCCTAATTTTTTTCCCCCTCGATGTCTATTTTTATCCTCTCAGGATCTGGAGTGGCGCTTATGTCCAATTTTGAGCAGCTGCTGCGCGGTGTGTGGAGGCCCGAGACCAACGAGATCCTCAGCATGTCATTGTGAGTGAGCGTGTGTTTGTGGATAATAAAAAAATCATCGCTCCTTTCTGAACTATACTAGTTTTAAACTAGACTTGGGTTTTTACGATGTAAAAACAAGTGTGCATTGCCATGTAGCATGTCATTGCCTGCAGCAGTGGACTTGCAGAATGAACTTTGACCAAATTCAAATGTGTTTTCTATACCAGCTTGTGCCTGTCACATCAGCAGGTGTTTGTAATTAAGGTAATTGTGTGACAATGTGAAGTTTGAAGAGATTTTTGTTAAAGTTGCAGTAGCTGGACTTGAACCCTGATCTCCCATTTGAAAGCCCACAGTGCTCATCATGAGACATTAGGAGATGTGGCAAAGGACAATCCCAGGGATTGGATTGTATATATACAGAAAAGGTTTACCTTGCCAATGCAATTATTGACACTTAAGTGCAATATATTACAGCAATAGGACAACATAACGACAGTATTGCAGTAAAACATCAAAATACAATCATATTAATATTGTAATCACTGAACTACTGAGTTTAAATAGTATGAAACTATGGTGCAGTACCATATGTGTAGAGGCAGCAGGGGGCAGTATTGGACCAATACAAGGCTCCATTGACTGCCATTATAATTTATTAAACATTAATATTTCAAAAACTAAAAGTTTTACAGGCACCAAAAGGCATAGACATCATTTGGCACAGGGGCTTTAAAAATATAAATTACAATGGCAGCTCTAGGACAAAGTATGCAGGAGGAGAAGCATGGCAAAGTTGAGATGATTGGATGGGAAACGAATCACAATAGTGTGCATTGCATTGGCAATGCACACTGATTATGTGCAAACATTTATTAAGCTGCAGCTGAAGGTAAAGGCAGAATGATGTCATTGCCTGTGTCTCTGTGTGTGCAGGTGTTTGTCTGTTAGCAAACTATCCCATCAACCAGTGGATTTAAAGGGAGCCACGATTAGTTGTAACATTAGACTTTATTTGATAAACATCTATTTTAACTGTAAAATAAAGACTGTAAAAATAC